TCTTTAGGAATTTTCAAGTGCATTTCCAAAGAGTTTTTTTCTTTTTATTATCCATCTTAAGAAGCTCCCTCTTGTCCACTTTATTTCTATAGCCTATTAGTTTATTTTCTTTTAGTACTAAATCACAATGAGACATTAAAATTCTATTTTTTGAGTCCATGCAACTGGAATTCGAACTGTATTATGGGAGGGACCATGCCTGTCCTGCTTGGTTCTTTATCCTCAGTACTTGGTAGAGGTGCTCAATAAGTATTTATTGAATGATTTAATGAAATAGAAAAAAGAATGAGGAAAGGGGGGAAAAAAAAACCCACAATGTGTACAGGCAAATGTCTACTTTGTGATCTTCTCACCTCTAACTCATTCACTTATTCCAAAGATGGAAAAGCATTCAGCCACTCAAAGTGATGGATCGCTTTCACAAAGAAACCAGTGAATCCCCTTTAGCAATTCTTATTGCTGTGAGCATGACAAGCTTCTGGGATTCTTTTCTATCAGGCCTGATGCATCTTTTAAACAGCTGAATTGAGTCCTTTACAAATTGCTGACTTGGCTCAATAAACTGCATTACCTGATCCTTGTTGATTGTGGGATGGCTGCTTAAGAAGTCAGAGACATGTAGCATGGGTGGATGGTGGCCCAACTGAACTGGAAACTTGCATTTCACTTAATTGTTCTCCTGCTGCTTTCTATATTTTCCATGTCAATGGCTTATGAAGAATTTGACCTTGAAATGTAAAGATGTGGATGTCTTTGAGCCATCATACTTGGAATTTGTGGTTGAAGAAATATATAATGTTTTTCATTAAAAAAAAGAACTGATAAAATGAATATATATCCATATATGGATTTATTAGATTGGCTTACAGGATAGAGTCCAAGTAGTCTAACAATGGCTGCCCCACACTAGAGAGGCCAAGAATCTAGTATTTTCTCAGTTCATGAGGCTGGATATCTCAGCAGCCCTAATCTGGTGCTGGAGGACTGATGGATTCTGGGAGATCTTCAGCCTATGTTGGAATCTGAAGAAGTTGGTCACAGCAGCGAGATTCACCAATGAGAGAAAAGGCAAGCAGCAAAAAGCCAAAGCTTTCTTCTGCCATAGCCTTTTATACAGGCTGCCATCAGAAGGTAAAGCTCACATTTAGGGGGGCCTTTCTGCTTCAAATGATCCAATCAAGAAGGCCTCTCTCATTTCATTTAATCCCAGATCCAGTCAAGTTGACAATCAGGATTAGCCATCACAATCAGTTTCAACATAGATTCACATTCATCCTGTGTTCCTTCTCAGCTTATAGGCCTCTTTTTATATATTTGAACGCCATGTTATAAAGTGAATATATATTATATACATTATATAATTTCACTTAGACTCTTGGTGATACATTTTTTTTTTACCTGAAAATGTTCTTATTTTGCTTTCATTTTTGAAGGACACTCTTTCTGGGTCCATATTCTGTCTACACCAGCAACTGTGTGCTCTTTCAGTTTTAGTAACTTAAGTCCATTGTCATGGCTTCTCTTTGAGAGTCATGACAAATCATGTAGTTGTTCCTTTGAAGAAAATGTGTGCCTTTTCCCCTCTGGCTGCTTTTCAGACTTTCTGGTTGTCCTTGGTTTTCAGCAGTTTTGATGTAATATTCTTTGCATTTATCCTGCTCATCTTTGTGATTCTTCACTTATGGATTGTTATCTTTCATCTCCACCATTCTTCAAATACTGCTTTCCCCTTCTCTGGCCATGTATAGGATCACCTTATCATGTCTACCTTTCTTGCCACCATTTCCTTACCTACCTTTTTGTCTCTTCCTGCTTTGTTCTACATATTTTCTTTGTATCTCCTCGAGTTTTCACTTCAGCTATGTCCGTTCTGAGCCTATATGCACAAAGTTTCTAGCTTGGGTTGTATTATTTTCAAATTTCACTTCAGGATAATCTAGATTCTTCTATGCGTTTAGATTATATCTATTTTTCAGAACAGCTATTTTTATTAAAATTGACCTATCATTTCTGATTATCTTTAATAATATGTTACATTATCTAGGCTGTTTGCAGAAATACTTTTGGTTTTTATATTATTTTATTTCCCCTAGATAAGAATTACTTCTTGTTCTCTGCGATGAGGATAGTGTGCTATGCCTGTATATTGATTGGCTTAGGTTACCCAGTTGTCTACAGTTTGTCAGAACTGATTAAATGGTCCCCATAAGCATTTGCATTTTATTCCTTCTAAAGTTTTCCCAAATAATGTGCCATAAACAAATGCTGGTCTCTAGTCAGAGACATGCATGCTGAAGTGTTTTTAGGTCAAATGAACTGATGAATATGTTTGTACCTAACTTTGAAGTGCATCAGAGATAAAATGGATTGAAGGAAGGATAGAGGGGTGACAGATAAATGTGTACTAAAGCAAATACAGTAACCGCTAATGTGCTCAAGGGAGTGGAGATATGGGTATTCATTGTAAAAATTTCTTCATGTTTGATAATTTTTATAGTAAAATTAAGTATGAGATAAGTATTTAGTCATAGTCATTAGTGTTTACTGATTTTTTGAGCCATATATCAGAATATTTGACACATTCATATTTTGTAGTCCTGTGTTCTAGAATTTGATGTGCTCTGGCCACCATATCTGGAAGTTTCTTTATCTCATGCAACTGTGCTGAAATGACATCTACCTGTAATTAGGTCCTCTGTTGTGAACCTTAGGGATGATATTAAAACAGGGCTCAGAAGCTTGAGATCAGGACCTCAATTGTGACAAACTTTGTAACCTTGGGAAAATAGCTCTGGTGTTCTGAGGGCCAGTGTCCTACCCTGTAGCTTTATAACAGTGTGTGGGGGTGCCTGTCCTTCATGCCTACTTTGTTTACAGAAATAGGCCCTAAATCTGAACCACAAAAGGTAAATGAATTTCCTCTTCAAATTGTTTTTTTAAAAAAATCTTACCACATTAAACCACAAGTCTTGTATGCAAATATGTAAAGGGACTTTTTTATTGGTCCTTTTGAAACCGGGTCTCCCTGTAGCCCCAGCTGGCCTGGAGTTCACTGTGTAGACCAGGCTGGCCTTGAACTCACAGAGATCCACCTGCCTCTGCCTCTGAGTGCTGGGATTAAAGGCATGTGCCACCATGTCCAACCTTAAGATTATAGTCTTGGTGGGGCTGGAGAGATGGCTCAGGGTTTAGAGCACTAACCACTTTTGCAGAGGACTTGGGTTCAATTCCCAGCACCCACATGGCAGCTATGAACAGTCCTTAACTCCAGTTCCAGGGGAATCTGAAGCCCTCTTCTGACCTCCGTGACATTGCATGACATGGGTGCACTCACATACATGCAGGCAATACACTCGTACACATAAAATAAAAATAGTAAATAAAATATTTAAAAAAGCCAGGCATGGTGGTACACGTCTTTAATCCCAGCACTCGGGAGACAGAGGCAGGCAGATCTCTGCGTTCAAAGCCAGCCAGAGATCTGTCTGCCTCTGCCTCCCAAGTGCTGGGACTATAGGCATGCACCACCTACCACACTTGTAAAGGGACTTCTTAATGTTGAAATATTCTTTGGGGCTGGAGAGATTACTCCTTTGGTAAAGTTCTTGCTATGCAAGCGTAGGAACTGATTTCAGATTTCCAGCACCCACATAAAAAGCAGTGGTGTGTGCCTATAATGCATTGAGGAGAGGGAGATGGGAAGATTCATATGGCTTGCTGTCCAGACAGTCTAGCTGAATTGGCAAGTCCCTGGTTCAGTGAGAGACCCTGTGTAAGGCCAAATTTACTTCTGGGAGGCCTGTGCTACTCACACTCTCAGCTTTCAGGCCCACTGGGAGGTGGGCTGCGACCCTCTCTCCCCTCACTATAGTTTAGGGAGTATGGATATTTATTTGGGTTTTCTTACAGAGTTTATGATGTCCGGGAGAGGGTTACTTACAATGCATGGACCCCCGTTGACTTTTTTCACTACATCTTGGCTGAGCTTCCTAGATCTACTCGGCCATGCAAGATGGTGAAGCCTGCCACCTCCCTGGCTTTTTCCCTGCCTCCTGTCTTTCCTTAGACCCTTCCGCTCATGCAATTGAAGCTGACTGATTGGGTGGGAGGGATGACTGTCTTCCTTCCTTTCTATGGAGTCTCTTAGGGTTCAGACACCCAGCTCTTGCTAGTTCTTTTGGATGACATGCCTATCCAATACCCTGCCTGAAAAAATAAAATGTGAAGCAACTGCAGAAGACACCAGATGTTGACCTCTAGCCTGCACATGCATGCATGTACACACGCACCCACCCACATACATATCCTCCTAACATGTACACACACATATACAAAATAAATAAGTAAACAAACTTTTTTTTTAAGTTCCTATAATGTGTACAGTGTTGCAGGCTCTTGTTAACATTTGTAGTTAGGTGTTCTGGTAAAGTAGAAACTTATCTGGGAAGGAAGGAGAAAAGAAGGAATAAAGGTGGGATGGAGGAAAGGAGAGAGGGAGGGAGAAGGAAAAGGCAAACAATCCAAAAAGAGGCCTTATTTGTAGCAATTACCAACTTCTATGATACTTCCACCATGGCCAGTTCAAACCATCACCATGATTGATCCTGAACAAAGATCTGAGAAAAGGTAAGCATAGCTTGCTATCACTGGCTGGCACAGTTTGTCTGTTACTTTATAACCTGTTTCTGACTCCCTGGGGAAAGTTGCAAGTTTATAGTTTTAGCTATTTTATATGACAATTAAAATACCTGTAAAGGTATGATTTGGTTATTATTGTAGAAAATATGCAAAAAATAGAAGGCATTTTGAAATATCACTATTTTTTGTTCAGATTATGAAAATGCCTTTTTTTTCTTCAGATAAATGGTGTGCATAAAAATATGTGTGTAGTATATGTTTACAAGCTCTATGTTTTTGAAGTTGGTGATAGAATTGCCTGTTTTGTGACTTTATGGTGATTTGAGCTTGTGTGTCATTAAAGAGTTCTCTTCTATTTTCAGGCATTTTTGTTGCCTTCCTGTGAGATAGCTGTAATAAGAAAAGTAGTTCAAGTGTACAGGAAATGGATCTTCCAGAATAAACCTGTGTTTATGGAGGAACCAGATCAAAAAGACATTTCCCAAGAAGATGCTGAAAAATTAGGACTTTCAGAGACTGATAACAAGGAGGTAATGTTTTCACTTAGTCTCCGAGATGAGAGTATGTACACATATTGGCATAGTACACCTGCTCACTTGATGGTCCCATTCTGCCCATGTAGGCAGGTGGGGAGTACCACTCTTAAGTTGTTGAGTTCTATGAGGACCTGCATGAGAAACATCTTTCGTGCTGCATTTTTGATGGGCAGTCATGCACAGGGCTGCTTTCCTAGTCCCTGTCACAAGAAAGTTGTTTTATCATATTTTACAATTATCTCTGTGAGACTGAAAAGCTGATGTCTTCCCCTTGACTTGTTTCAATAAATAGTAAATAGTTTTTATGAAAGTTAAGGGTAGAATGTTTTGCCAACCTTTGCTGTTCATTGTCCAGAAGAAATTAGCATTAAACATTTGAAAGGATTAGCCAAATAAACATCAGGTATTCCTTGGGCTGTCAGTAGCACTGAGTGCTAAATCTTCCTAGAAGAGGTGCTAGCCATGTTCTGTATAGCTAAGGGTCGAATAAATCTAAAATGATGATGTGAAACACCCTCCTGAAGTACAAAAAGAAACTTAAATTATATTGATACTGTGTTATTTTGAAATTAATCTACAGTGTTTAAAATTCTCAGCCATAGGCTTACTACATTGAAATGTATTGATTCTGTAATTCTGGTGTTTCAGTACTGGTGCAATTATTTTAGTACCTAGTCATGAGGTCAGTAAGCAAGTGGCATTTATGTATTTAGAGGCCTGTATTCCATGCCCTCAGGCATTGTTTAAGCATGACCCCCATGTAAAGGCTGTGCACTACTTTAGAGAGCAAGCAGTGAACAAGTGTGAGGCATGAAGTGTGTGAACATATGCGTTTCCCCTCTCGGTTAATGGATTGTTATCTTCTGAAGGCCTCCTCTGAAAGTTCTGGTCATAAAAGATCATCCAGTTGGGGACGCACATACTCCTTCACAAGCGCCATGAGCAGAGGGTGTGTGACAGAGGAGGAAAACACAAATGTGAAAGCCGGGGACCAAGCTATGCTACAGGTATGCTTCCTGCTGGGACTCAAGACATTCCAGATGGAGAGTTGCTCTGAACATTTTGTTTAATGAGGATGGTCATAAAAAGTGTACTGGTAGATGGGCTGGAGAAATGGCTCGGAGATTAAGAACACTTGCTATTCTTCCAGAGGATGCTGGTTTGATTCCCAGCACCCACACGATGGCTAACAACCATCTGTAAATCAGTTCCAGGGGATCCAATACCCTCTTCTGGCCTCTTTGGGCATTACGGGCACATGGTACACTTACACACATGCAGGCACATATATATAAAATAAAAATAATGAAATATTTTTTTAAGTGTATGGATATTTTTAGCATCAGGCACTAACTAATCCTTAAACTCTTAATTTTTTCTTTCCACCTATAGTTGGGGGAAAAAATTTTTTTTTCTAGCCAGAGAAGACATAAGAACTGATTTTAGTTTTTAAATAGGTATTATTATACACTGAAGGTGAAATGGCTAAGATTCATATCTTTTTTTTTTTTTTTTTTTTTTTTTTTTTTTTGGGGGGAAAAAAAAAAAAAAAAGAGGACGATAAATCTTTCACTGTGATATATCAAAATAA